GGCCCATCCCTTCACAAATGGCTCATCCCTTCACAAATGGCCCATCCCTTCACAAATGGCCCATCCCCCTTCACAAATGGCTCATCCCTTCACAAATGGCCCATCCCTTCACAAATGGCCCATCCCTTCACAAACAGGAAAAAAAAGTAGAACAAACCACTGATGGAAAATTCTAGCAAAAACTGGGAGAGTTACATACGACATTGAGCAAAGCTTCCTGCATGATCAGTTGCTGCTGCTGCTTCACTTTCATCCGTTCTTTCACTGCCTGCAACCGTTTCTCGTTGTCCGTGAGTTTTTTCTAGAAAGAAATTGGAACCGAGTTAACAAAAAAACAAAACAAAAAATGACAAAAAACCCCAGTCCTCAATACTTCTACAGCAGCTTTAAAATGAATTCTACATAGAAGCATTCTGAACAGGAAGCTTGCCTCGTGGACCGTACAGATGAACCTGCTCTCAAGGCCACCTGTCCAAGACCCATTGTATTTTTTTCCTGGTGTTGCGCTGACAAATGTCTAAGATAACCATTTTCCTCGTTGACAAGGAGAGTATCTCAACTGTAGTTGGAATTGTGGATGTTTCCTGTCCTTAGTCAACAAAATCCTCTTTCAAAGAGGACGACGGGAAGATCAACAGTAAGAAACAACACTGGATCCTGAATCCTTCGAATAGAACCCTTCATATCTTCTGCCACACACATGTAATCATGACATAGATTTTGTTAAAAGCCACAATTTAAGCAAACTAGAAAATACAGTTCCATTATAATTATGCGTGACAGAATAATTGAAATACACAGACATATTTGGTCAAATCCAATTTCAACATCCTTCTCCAAATTCAAATTCCCCAAATACACGCTAGAATGTGTAGGCACACTCATACGTACTGCAATGAGACACACACACACACACACACTAGAACATGTAGGCACACACATACGTACTGCAATGAGACTCATACACACACACACACTAGAACGTGTAGGCACACACATACGTACTGCAATGTGACACACACACACACACACACTAGAACGTGTAGGCACACACATACGTACTGCAATGAGACTCATACACACACACACACTAGAACGTGTAGGCACACACATACGTTCTGCAATGTGACACACACACACTAGAACGTGTAGGCACACACATACGTTCTGCAATGTGACACACACACACACACACACTAGAACGTGTAGGCACACACATACATACTGCAATGAGACACATACACACACACTAGAACGTGTAGGCACACACATACGTACTGCAATGTGACACACACACACACACACACTAGAACGTGTAGGCACACACATGCGTACTGCAATGTGACACACACACATACACACACTAGAACGTGTAGGCACACACATACGTACTGCAATGTGACACACACACATACACACACACACTAGAACGTGTAGGCACACACATACGTACTGCAATGAGACACATACACACACACTAGAACGTGTAGGCACACATATACACACTAGAACATTTAGGCACACACACATACACACCACATTGAGACACACACATACACACTAGACAGTATAGGCACACACAATACGCGTACATGACAAAGAGACACACACACAATACACACTAGAACACAAAGAACGAGTAGGCATAAACATCAACTTTAAAAAAAGTTTTAGTAAGGTTTTATGGCGCTCACAACTACATAAGGTCATATGAGCGCCAAGAGGTGGATGTCAACAGAGAAGTTCATACAGGGAATCAGGCTTACTCTGCTCACCTCTCTAGCCTCAACAGCAAAAAGTCTGCTTTGACTATCAAGGCACCCCGGAAATAGCAGGTCACAAGAAGTATTGGAAAATGACAATAGTAAGGATTAACAAAGAAAAAGCAGCACTTTCCTGTTGTAGTTCAGGCACAGTTTTATGAGCATGACATTGTTGGACCAGCCCATTTACTGTGCATGAACGAAAAATGTCCCCCTCTTTGGGAATGGCCTAAAGACACTACAGTCAGTGGCACTGCCCCGGGGGACACACATA